TCAATCACGAAATAGAATGCAATCTCGCCGAGAGGAAAGAGCTGATCTACATCATAGACTATATTCTATGATTTAAAATCTAGAAGCCATAGGATGTCAAGAAGAATATTTATAAAGACCCACTCGGTATTTGGTGCGACATCCGAAGATGCTATACACTATGTTAAAACTATCTTAACAAGAAACCCTGATAAAATCATAATACATTTTGGCACTAACGATATTGCATCAAAGTATAAAACAATAGACAACTACCGAAAAATTATCAACAAAGTTCAACATAGCAGTCAGCGTACACGTATAAGCATCAGTTCATCATAATGAGAGGAGATAGCGATCAAGTGAACAAAGATATTCAAATCAAGAATGATGAACTCTACCAGCTATGCAGAGAACATAAACTGGATTTTAAAAACAACAATAACATTACTATTGATAGCTTGAACGGTAGCAGACTCCATCTAAATAGACAAGGGAACATACTTCTTGCGAGAAACATAATTAATCATCTGCAGCAAAAATGACAAGTGGGTAAGATAATGCACAGTTTAACCATGATTGAGCCTTCGTGCCCTTATAGTCAAAAAGCTAATCATTCATTTATAACCCACGGAGAATATGATGATTTAAACGAGGAAATTCAAAATAAACAGAGCTCTATCGAAATAATAGATAGCGCTTTAAATGAAGTAACTAATTTCAGTTCAATAAGAATAAAAAATCCTAAAAAGATAATTATAGGACACCTTAACATAAATTCTGTTCCTAAAAAACTTTCTAGTATTATGGAAATCATAAAAGGAAAATTAGATATTTTTCTTATCTCAGAAACAAAAATAGACGAATCCTTCCCAACATCTCAGTTTTCTGTCGAGGGGTTTAGGAAGCCCTTTAGACGTGACAGAAAAATTGGAGCTGGAGGATTACTACTTTATGTGAATGAAAACATTCCAGCTAGAGAATTAAGAAATCTCAACTAGGCAAACGATATAGAAACTATTTCCGTCGAAGTTAATTTTAAAAAAACAAACCAAAATGGCATCTAATTTTTTGATGAATTAGGTAAGTTATTGGATTTCTATTCACAAAGCTATGAAAGTATTTTAATACTTGGGGACTTTAATATGGAACCTGGTTCTTCTAAGATTCTTATGGAAAATTTTATGGAAAATTATGATCTATATAATCTGATGAAAGAGCCAACATGCTGCAAAAGTAATCCGCCAAAATGCTATGACTTGATCTTAACAATCAAGAAATACAGCTATATAAATACAGGTACATATGAGACAGTTTTGTCTGACCACCATAAACTAACCTATACTGTACTATAAACTGAATTCGTAAAATCTGAACCCACTCCTATTTTATACAGATGCTATAAAGTTTTTTCTACCGATCAATTTAACTAGGATCTCTAATTTAATTTGGCTAAAATACCTAAAGAAAATGTATCGTACGATGTTTTCAATCAAACTCTGATTTCAGTTCTCGATAAACTTGCCCCTCCAAAGAAAAAGTTAGTAAGAGCAACAATGCGCCTTTCATGAATAAAGATAAAGGAAAATTGATTATGCTGAGATCAAAGGCAAAAAGAGAGTTCAGCGAAAACAGAACAGTCTCTAATAGGGAGAGGTACAAAAATGTCAGAAATAGATGTGTTAAATTAATTGGACGCACTAAAAGAAGATATTTCGAAAATTTAGATGTTATGTTCGTCAACTAATGCAAAAGCAAAGTTGCACAAACGTTGAATAATCACTTCGTAAATATTACTGAAAGCCTCAATACAGCCCGACCTTTATCTGATAATGTGCAACAGACGTCTGACGAAAGGACAGCCTTATCACTATTAGATCAATTGAAATGCTTTGAAAACCACCGTAGTATTTTAAAAATCAAGGAAACGGTTGATCAATTTCCTAAGTTTAACTTTAACAATGTAACTTCCAAGGAGGTAAGAGAGATAATTTGCAACCTAGAGGAAGACAAATCAACAGGAGCCGATAACATCCCCCTAAAAGTTCTTAGAATAGCAATAGACGTTGTCTCTGGACCACTAGCTGAAATATTCAACGGATCTATTTCTGATAAAACGTTTCCCTTTCTTATGAAAATGGCTAATGTGTGCCCTATTTTCAAAAAAGGAGATTCAACTAGTAAAGAGAATTATAGACCAATAAGTGTGCTCACCTCAGCTTCAAAGATATTTGAGAGAATAATATTCAATCAAATTTACAATTACATCATTGTTAAACTGTTCCCTTTGCTTTGTGGATTCAGAAAAGGTTATAGCACACAACACGCTTTATTAAGACTCCTTGAAGGCTTGAAAAAGTGCCTGGATAATAAAGATGTGGTCATTTTTATTCTGTGATACAATTCCTGATCTTACTTTATACACCTGATCTTCTGTCATACACTTACAATATGTGAACATAAGTATCAAAACGGCAGGATTTTGGCGTGTAGGGTTCTTCCCACTAATGGTTCACATCTTTCTGACAATTGATGTAGCTATAGCAATCGCTTAATACAGATTGGTGTTCCGAATGACTCGTGTTTGCGACCCTTGATACTCTACATGAATAAGAAAACATGATGCAAAATAAGCAATGTATGCTTGTGATACCGGTATGATTACCATGTCAGTAGACCTTGATAAACACATATGATGAGGATTAAACTTAGTTTGAATGAACTAAAACGTGAATACATGGTAATTGGCCAGGTAAAGTCAGGTAGCTACATCTATATATAGAAAAACATGTTACAATTTTTCCTAAAAGCAATAAAACCCTTGTGAAACACTTGCCGTTTTTAATCTCTTTTGCAACAGCGAACATATTGTCGATAAAAACATTAAAAAAGGATTTGAAATTTATATCTGGGATAGGGTTTTCATGAGCTCCATAGAGTCCGTTTAGAATTCTAACCCATTCATGTAAATTATCAAGTACAGTAAATTCATAATTTTGTTGATAGAAGGCAGGTAAATTTCTTGGCGATAGTACGTCGAAGAACACATTAGCCACAAACTGAATACTTAACGTAGGAGTTGCCTAAAACCAAAGCAAAGTTAGAACAGTTATTAAATGAGATCTATGTTAGGTCACTTCCATCCTTGTTGACAGGTAATTTCGATTAGTTCTCCAAAATCAATCTCGCAGGTTGTTTGAGAACGCAACGAGGGCTGATCTTTCTGCAGAATTGACTCTAGAACGATTGGTACCACGAATAGGAACGCAATGATGGTGATGCACAAATAGAAGTTTGCATGGGTTCAGGATGCGGTACTTCAACTTTGTTTGAAAGATCCACATTAAAAGGTTTTCCATTCCAAGCAAATCGGGTGAAACCCCTTTCAATTCTTCAAAAGTGCTCTCAGACCACTCTTTCATTGCCTTGAAAACAAATGTGTCATGACAACCAACATAGGCTTCACTATCATCACATGTAAAATATTTTGTGTGCTTTGTTCAATTTGGATTTAATGATGAATGTCTTGTTAAAGCATACATTGTACGAGGGTCTCTGATAACTTGACGCCAGGGCAGATCCCATCCTTTGCCTATTTTGTTATCTTGGTTGGTAATTGCAACTAACTGGCCAGGAAGACATCTTGCAGCATAAAGCAATTGACATTTAAGTCCAACGTCCTCGTTAACTACTCGAAGAACGAGCCTCTCACTTCGCTTTAAAGGAAGCGAATGCAGGTATTCGGCAGTCTCCCGGTCTCTGACTAAAACGTGAATCTCGTCGATCAATGCATAATTAAGATTCGACTGCAAAACATCAACAACTTCCATAAGCCTTGCTTCAATCTGTGCGTTGTTTTCCTCGGACGCTACAGCTAGGTTTCCGAGCGTTTTGCGATATGTCTTGCTCTTCAAGTCGATAAATCCCGTTATTAGAACGAATTTCTCTGTATTTTCTCTGCTTGAACAACCCTCCATAACAAATGTTGCTTTATTGAAGGAATGCATTGGCTCGTAGAATTTGTACGTGAAGGATATATTCGTGTCGAGGTGTCCTTTCCTAACCTTTATTGTCCTCTCTAAATGTATCTCCATTTTGATAGCGTCCTCGCTGCTTTGTTTCCATTTTGATAGGTCAAAAGAAAGTTGTGTATGCATATTTTTATAAAGCTTTGTATAAAACAACCACGCTTCGTAATAAACAATTACCATCAGAGAAATTCCACAAAGAATTTGGACATAAATCTTAAGCTTTGGAACTAGCATTGCGTCTCAGCTTCACCTCTGATGCAGTGCTTCCACAGATTGTGAATTGAAATTGCTTTTTCCTAATCAAGATTTTCCTTACATTTCCTTAGATCTGATAAGAGGAATTTTAAAACTTCTTCAGAATCTCCTTCACTGAAATTTCATGTATTTTACGGACAAGAAAATATTCAAATAGTATCATCCGACTTTTGAAAAATGATGAATTTATATATTTCAGTATGTTCGAATTTATATATTTCAGAAATATATAAGTATGTTTACTATCGTGTACAAACTTAAATATTTCAGAAATATGTATATTTCAATATTCATGGAACAAAGTGAATGAATTTAAGAGAGAAGCATAAATGTTTTTATCTTCAAAAAGTGTGCAAAACTGAAAACATGTTCAGTGCCAAAAGCAATTCAATCACAAAGGAAACCACACATTTCTTCATCTCCTTTACTGAATTGGTCTTCTGAAGGTAATGGAGGTCAACCTCAATTGTGCAAGGGCATTCTTAACACAAACTAAATGCGAGTACTAGGACGATCGCTTAAAAGCAAATGTGGTTAATCCTTTGGTCAAGGAACAACATAGAAAATCGAGAGACATAACGAGATTGCTGGTTGAGATTTTCGATTGCAATTTTACCCAATTGTAGAAAAACAGACTTTTTTAGACAATTACAGTTTGCTTTAGCTTATATTTTGTCGGATGACCTCCAGGAATCTGGCAGCCGCCATTTGCACTGGAACTCACTGAATTAATTTTGCAACGAAATATCTTTGGATAAAATGGGAAATCTCTTAAAAATTCTAAAAGAGCTTATTTTTGGTCTTCGAAGATTTCATTTCTTGGATTTTTTTATGAAAACTAGTTGTTTTCAATTACATCAAGGCTTTGACTTTGACGGGGTTATTGAAAGACCATGATGTTACTATTTTTAAAATATTTGTCACAATTGCAACATAGCTAGGTTTATTGTCTTGCTTAAAAATAAATGGTCTTTGCAAAGAATCATTATTTGTTTTGTACTTGCTTGGGGACTTTCTACAAATAATTGGACAAAGTATTAAGCTTTGATTGACTTTGCACACAACGCCAGCTTGCAGATGCCAATTAGGCACAACCGATAGTCAGCCTGCCTTGGCCTACCAATCTTTTAAGTTTAGTCGCCATTGTTAACTTATTGTTCTTATAAATAACAAACATGTGTTGTAGACTTACTGCAATCAAACTTTCTTGCAGTTTCAGCAAACAAATGACTCGCTAGACCCAAATATTCTATTGCTCCTTGTTCTTTTTCTGGTCGCTTTTGTATTTTCGGCATTGAAACATAAACATTGATATTTTCCATTTTTCCTCAACATTTTGTTACTTTTCTATCAAAGAAAGGTAGGAAATAAATTGAATTTGCTAGGAATTGCATTTTTGCTGACTCTATTTCTAGAATCCCGCCAAAACAGCAAGATTTGTTCAATCAATGTTAGAATGCTAGTTTTGGAGCCGCCATTTTGTTATTCATCGTCCTAAATAAGATAAGATAAAGGAAATGTGTTCATAAATTACGCATGAACTTGAGGAAGTCTGGCTTATAAACATTGATTCATAAAGAAGATACATCAGTTTATAGGCACGTGATAGAACAATGAACTGTTACTTTTCGAGGGCCTTTAAGGAGCAAAATATTTAATTAGTTTGCTTGGTGTCTACAGTGATAATTATAGATATTCTCCAAGTTTGTAATTCAAGCTTTTCTTGATGCCTGAAAACACTTCTTGACTTCAAAGTGCCCCCTTTGTCCATGAGTTCTAGGCCGACCAATTTCAGGGGTGGCACCACGGGCTGGACTGGCATGGACGTGTCTACTCCACTTTTTAAGATTTACTTTCTAAATTCTCCAACACTGGATTGAAGACATAAGGGAGGGGGTGTTTGTTTTCTTCTCTGAGATCGAACTTTTTTCATTTTGATGGCTAGCTACAGTTCTTTTCAGATCTCAGCTGACATCGAGCATGGTGTGTTGCATCATTCGTAAGTTCGGTAAATATTGAGAAACTACAATGAAGATGATCAAGATGATCTATGAAACACAGCTTTAAAGAGTTGGTTCTTAGAGTGTGGTATTTGCCTTTCTTCCTTGTTTAAGGTTTTCGACAATGATTGACTTTAAAACTTGTACCCACACTTTTTAAGCTGTAAGGGTAGTATAGTTGCTGCCCAACCTGTTACAGCTGCATCACATTTTAGCCTCAATGTCAAATAAAAGGTTGGAAAAGCTCGTTCAAATTAGCATCAATCGAGAAACGGCAGGTAAAATAGACAAAGGAAGCTCATTTATAAAGTTTAAAACCATTACTAGCTAAAAAAATTATGTTATTAGCTTTTATTTGTGTAAACCTTTGCCTATAAAATTCAATTCTTTTATTGAGGGTTTCAAAATATGTCAAACTTGGTTATCAATAATGAGGGTGATTTCTCGTACGGTGTTGCAGCTGTTTCTCACCCAGACCCCCTTTATCAGCTTCACACCTTCATTTACCACCCAACTATTTTGGGGCTGGTGCCGCCCCTAATCAACATTCGGCATTGTTTCAAAAACGTCTACTGGATTGTGTACTATTTTTCTCTCAACCCCCACGCAAATCGTTTAATAATTGTCAGGAATTTTTTAGACCGACATTTCAAAAATCACTGTCACCAACCTGCAAAGTAACAGTTTTAAAATTTCAAGCAACTTTGCCTTTCCTTATATTTCACTCTCGAAATCTCAAGAAACTTGAAAATTTATCATCTCAAAAATTTGAAAAATCATTAAACGTTGAAGAGATTTTAGCATTATCATTCAAGCCAACTGGGCTCTTAACGACTCCAAAATTACAAGCGGCGTTGTGGCCTGAAATATCAGAAGTTGTTGGTGAAATTTAGGACTAGAAATTGACGATGTCCTATACACCATGCAATTTTCAGACATAATTTAGAAAGATGGATTAAAAATAATTTTGCCAAGTTGCAAATGAAGTCGGAATAGGCTGAAAAAAAACAAGATGAAGTTTCATATCTGATTACATAACGTTGCTGTAACCACAAACTACAGATGCCACGCTTAAAATTTCTCGATCTAACTTTACACTTCTTATTTAAAATTCAACCTGAAGCGCGAACTGTAGGCTACTACAGTAGGTTGTATGCATTGGAAATATTCTTTGAGAACGCCGGAAAAGGGCTACATGTCAAACCAGAAATGTTGTATAAAGTTTCCTCTAGGCAGCCAAGATTGGTTATTGATGCTATGAAATATCAGATGATCGGTCAGAATTTATGCTCGCGAAATTTCCGATAACAGAATTTAGATTACCAACTTCCCCATTGATTGGACGAAATTTGATTCCAGTTTAATCCAAGGAATATTTTCAAAATTGAATTTGATTTATCCTATTTGGAAAGCGAATGTCAACCACTCCAGATATCCAATTAAGGCACCTCACTTCCAAGGAAGAAGTGTCGATACATAGCCTTACATTGTGCCAATTGAAACTGGTGACTGCTTCGAGGGTGCCACCGCTAAGTGAAGTTCTTTGCGGAGAGCGAGGGGTGCAATCTTGCATCTAGCGTTTGAAAAATAGATTTTGAGAAATACATAATAATAATTGAAAGATTTCTAGCTGAATAGAGATAAGAGAGAGAAAATTGTTTAATTGTTTGTTTCCACTAACTCTTCCGTCTCTTCAATAACTTCACTTTTAACTTCGCCTGCATTTGACACGGGGAGATTGCCTCCCCTGCTCCAGAGGCCTGGCTACCGGCTTTTATCACGTTGATATTATATCAGCTCTATCAATCAGTTTTCAAACCTTTCATTTTCTCTTTGCTTTCACATAGCGAGCCTTTGTTTCGATAGCCCATCTCCATAATTTTGAAGAATGCTACAGAATTGAATCAGCAAAATTCATATTTGATGTCACACAGAAACAAACTGACGCAATTCGTTCGGGTCTATTTAAGCCAGTTTCATATGTATACAACATTTGCACAAGGCAAACAACGTCTGGCTTTTTATCACAGCCAACAGTAAGAGCAAATTTTTAAAAAAATGTTCATAATAAGTTAAGGAATTAAACTCTGAATATTATTTTTCTGGAAACAAAACAATCAAAACATAAACATTATTTTTTCAAATTATTAAAGAAGTGGATTCAAAACTAACTTTGTTTAAAAATAGTTCTCGAATCTGGTTTCCGGAAAAATTGATGTTTCTTAAATTAATGAGCATATATGTTTCTGTTTTTGGTATCTTTTATTTTATTGTATTTTTTCTCCTTTCTTTTATTGTTGAACTGATAACATTTTTCTACACATAATTTGATCTTATCTTAAGACTTGTCTTAATGATGAAATTGTTTGCAATTCACTGAAATAAAATATGCATGGTGTTTAGTAGGGTAAATAACTCGATGCCTCATCCGAGCTTTTTCTATTTGGCCTAAGTTTTATATCTGTAATTAATTTAGTTATCATGTACCTTGTAATGAAAATTTTAATGGCTGCACTCTGTTCCCAATATAAGTTCCTTATCAGTTGTAAATCCTTCCAGGGTCATAACTCCAGTCACCAATTTGCCGACAAAATCAGGCGTGGCCTAAATTATATAGATTTTTGGGTGCGGCATTTTGACGCAGTTGATTTTGTTTATCAAAGAGTATGTTTTCGTCAGTCAGTCATCGCTTCCTTTTTCGTGTTGTAATTTTATTCACTTGGGTACCTGAGGGTACCTTCTTCGATTTCACTCTAAAAGTCCAATTTTGAGTAATAAGATACCCTTATCGATTCAAATTGCATGACC